CCTGCACTGCCTCCCGGGGGGCTGCTCTGGAATTCTCTGTGGCCACTGCTGTCATGCACTTGGCTGTGAGTGGCATCTTGCCTTTGGTTGGGGGGAGGTGCTTCTTGGGGCTAAGGGTGGGAGCGGCTAGGATAGCTGGCAGCCACACTCTGGGGACAGCTGGGGACAGCTGGGAAGAAGGGTGTACCTAGGCGGGGTTGGGAAGGGGCACCAGCCTCAACAGAGACCCTGCAGCCAGGTGGGGAGGAGGGGAACCGGGAGTTTTGCTCTGGACAGGCAGGTGGCAAGCTGCCCTGGGTGGCTCCCAGCTGGGCCTGCCTAAGAGGCCTGCCAAGGGTTGGACCTGTGGGAGCCGCTCAGGCCCAGGCTGGGGAGGTGGTCTGAGGGCCTGGGAGCCCAGAAATCTCTCAGCTTTTCTGTGGTGCTGGGCCTGGGAGCCAAACGGCTCCCTCCTCGACCTCCTGAATCCCTTGGCAGCTTCCCAGTCACGGCAGGTTCCGCTTGCCGCTGCCAGAGCCATTTATAACTCCCAGTCTAGGCTCGCTTGGCATTGGCGCTCCCAGGGGGTGGGGGAGGCGTGGCCCCCTTCTGGGCCTTCCAGTCCAGGCCGAGGAGGCCCCTAACCTAAGCCCTGTGGGGGTGGTAGTACGGGGAGACAGACTGGCTGCTGGGGAAGGACCTGGGCTTTCCTATGAGTGGCTCCTGGCTCCTCGAGAGACCCTCTTCCTGCCTGGGCTCGGCTCCTCGGGTGGTGAGAGTCCGGTTAGGTGGGGGAAATGCACAAGCTGGGGACCCGGCAAAGTTGAGTGGGTCCAGCAGCCAGGTGCTCGGGCCTCTCCTCTGCAGGGGCCCCACGGGGCGGAGTCCCCGATGAGGAAGCAGGAAGAAAAGGATGCCGAGCTGGACCGGAGGATAGCTGCCCTGCGAAAGAAGAACCAGGCCTTACTGCGTAGGTACCAGGTGAGTGGATTGCTGCCAGGAGGGAGGGTGCCCTGCCTGGCCAGCCCAGCCAGCCCCGCCAGCCCCCACGCTTGGGCCAGGCTCTGGGGAGTCAGTCGCCAGGCTTGGGGCCAGGGTCTGGGTGTGCCTGGTGCCCCTGAGTGACGCAGCCAGAGGTCTGGGGACTCAGTGATGCGGTACCTCTGCCCCTTGGTGTCTCCCTGATGTCTCTCCGTGTGGGCTTGTAGGTGTCTTTTTCTCTGTGCGGGGCGGGGTGGTGGTGTGGGGGTGGTGGTGGTGTGGGGTGTGTGTGTGGAGGGGGGTGGACTGTCATGTTTTTCTGAGTGGGGGCGTGGCCTGTTGGCAACTGTGTCTGTGCGTGGGGGCCATGGCCTGTGCTGACTCCCAGGCTGTCCTACAGGAGATCCAGGAAGACCAGAGGCAGGCAGAGCAGGGGGACATAGCTGGGAGCCTGCTGCAGCCCCTCCCACCTGACAGCCTTACTGTCACCATCAGCCAGGTTCCTGGGGTAAGCCTTACCCCGGCAGACAGGGCGCTGACAGCCAGAGGGGCTAGCCCAGTCCTTCTCAGGGGTGGGCTCCCCTTTCTCCCAACCTCCTTCCCCTCCCATGAACAGTTCTGAACTCACCAGCTCCCGAATCGCAAACCACTGCTGTCCACTTCTCTGAGGCCCCAGCTAGAAAGGTCACCAGACAGAAAGAAGTCTCCTTGTCCCTCCATAGCCCCATAAGGCCTATGTCAATGCCCCAAAGCACAGGCTGCTCCCACCCCCCAAAGCCAAGGGGCTAGGAGCCCTGCAGATGCCTGGAATGGAGTCGGAGACAAGGCCCCATTGTCTGAGTGTCCCGGGTTTCCCAGATTGGAGATGACGGCCTGGTGGCATCTAGGGCCCTGGGCGCTGGATCATCTCATGCCTTTGGCATGTGAGAGAGGCCAAGCCAGCATCTCTGAGGACATTCCAGGCAGAGCCAGTGCTGGCACCTGGGCCTGGGGAGTCGTCCAAAGGACCCAGCCCCCTTGTGGCCTGCAGGGGAAACGAGTGGTCAGCAGGAACTGGGGACTGCGCAGCCTGGGCCGTGGGGCAGCCAGCGAGCTGCCTGAGGATGAGGACGAAGACCATGCAGCTGCCTTCTGCTCGGGGGAGAGGGTGGAGCTGGCTGTGACCATGGAAAACAAGGCTGAGGTGAGCAGTGTGACAGGGCGGGACCCAGCCACCGGGAGGGACAGACTCTGCTTCCTCCTCCGCTCATTACTCCCTCGCCTCCAGGCCAAGAGGGTGGTCAGTGAAAAGCCCACCAGAGCCCGGAACCGGGGGACAGGTGGATCACTTGGCAGGGACTTTGGGTGCAGCCCCCCCATGCAGACTGCTGCCAGCCTGGATTCGGCACGGAAGGTAGCCACGTACCTCAAGAGAGGACGAGGACACGAGAGCGGGGAGGGGGGCAGTGGAGGTGGGAGTCTTCCTTTGGGGAGGCAGAAAAACTGAGTCAAATACACCCCCCTACCCCATCTGCAAAACATGGCCCAGGCAGCACCCCCAAGAATGCCCACCCCTTCTCCCTTTTTTTCTCTGGAATCTCCATTTTGGGGGGGGCGGGCGTCTTTCAGAGGTGGCCGTAAAACAGGCTGTGCCAGATATGTGGTCCACCCCTTGTCTGACTCAGCCCAGCTGGCTCTGAAACTATGGATCCTTCCAGAATCAGTGAGCCATGGGAGGGCTGGCCATGTGCCAGGTGTGACCTCTAGGTGGCAGCATCCCCTAGTGCGTGCTCTTACTCCCAGTCTCTGGGCGCCCCACCCACCCTCCCATCCACCTTGTGAGATAAATGCCATTCCAGTCACCTCTGCCCTCAGGTCGATGCCCACTCATAGTGACCCTATAGGACAGGGTCGAACTGCCCCCTGTGGGTTTCCGAGACTGTAACTCTTTAAGGGAGTAGAGAGCCTCCTGTCTCCCATCCGGGTTTGGAACTGCGGATGGCAGCCCAACACATAACTGAGATGCCAGCGGGGACCCTTATAAATACTATTCATATCTCCATGTCCCAGATGCATACATGATGCACACAGAGGTTAAGGAACTTGTGAGAAAACACACAGCTAATCAGTGCATGGAAACCCCACCCCCACGTGCCAGATGGAACCCCCTAAGTTCTCAGGTGGGAGAAGTGGAAGTCCTGAGAGGGGCAGGGTGGAGAGCAGTTCCCAGTCAGTCTCGTCTGAGCCCAGTGCTCTCGCTGTCTTTTCCCACGGTGCTGAGTGTCTTCTCTCGACAGGGGGCCCGGGAAGCCCGGAGTGTGGGTCGGGCCCCAGGCCCAGCTCCCCGGTGGTCGGCCGCAGGGCTCACAGAGGTGGGCTGGGACTACAAGCAGTGGAAGCAGGAGCGGGAGCAGATTGACCTGGCCCGCCTCGCCCGGCACAGAGACGCACAGGGTGACTGGTGCCGCCCGTGGGACCTGGACAAGGCGAAGCCCACGTGGGTGACAGGCCCGCACAACTCACTGGGCTGATACACTTGGGGGTCCGGGGGTAGGGCTGAGTGTGGGCGATGCTTGAAGTCTGGTGGGACCCTCCCATGGATGGCGTAGCTCTGTCCTTCTGACCAGGCCCTGGGCTCAGGGTCTCCCTGGGTGTGGCTGGGTCCTCCATCTCTTTGTGGGCTGCCTCTCTGCTACTGTCCTCCCAGCCACCCAGCAGCTGGGCTCCCTCTCCGTGTCTACACAGGCCGAAGGACTCTGACTACCACAGGGAAGAGGGCCCAGGCAGGGGCGGCAGAAGGGGTGAGTCACCACCCCCTCAATCCCTCCCTGACCCTCACCCCCATCAGCCTGTTTCCCAGCACTTTCCAGGCCTCACTCTGAGACCACCATCCCACGTTGACTCCAGGGGCTCACGGACCAGGCTCCTATGGAAGTCTGCCCAGAGTCCTTCCGGGGTGTGCCCACCCTCTGCCCCCCACCTCCAGTGCTAAGAGGGAGCTGGGACGCAGTGGTGAGGTAGAAGTGGCTAAGTCGAGCTGAGAAGCTCAACTCTCCAGCCCCCCAGGACAGGACTCTTTTTCAGAAGGTAGACAGTGGAGAGGGCTGACAGGTCCCCTGTCCCCAAAGAACCAGTGTGCCTGCCTTGGACCTCCTGTCACTCATCCTTGCCCTACTTCCTTTGCCTGCTAGGTTCCAGGAGCCACCGGAAGCTGCAGCTGCCACCACCCCCTGATGGAGAAGGTGAGGGGGGGGAGGCGGGAATGGGGGTGGGGACAGGTACAGGCAGGTGGAGATGGCCCTCTTCTCCTTCACTTGCAGGGCCGTCTCTTGCAGGTGGTACCACACGAGGTGGGCAACACAGCAGACCCTCGGTGGCACCGGCCACAGGCAGCAAGGCCCAGGGGAAGGAGAGGCTGACGGGCAGGGCTCGCAGGTAACAGGTGGCAGGGGGCAGAATCAAGCGGGGCACCTAGGACTCCTGATTTCCTGGACCTCCTGGCACTGGGAGGCCAGGCTCTGCCCTCGTCCAGGTGCAGCCCCTGCCCATGGGGCCTCTGTCTCTTGGCTGACAGCTGCCCGGCAGCAAGTTAATGAGATGCCAGGAGAGGCCATCAGCAGAGCCAGTGGCAGAGAACCTGGTGCCCAGGGAGACGGGGGTAATTACAGTAGTTACCTTCCCCGGGGAATGCAGGCTTGCCTTTCCCAGGCAGTGCGGGCAGGGACATGCCTGGAGTCCCCGCAGAACGCAAGGTGCCGCAGGCTTGTCCATAAACAGCAGCTGGGAACCTGGGATGGGGGCCAGGGTGGGCGATGCTTGGAGGAAGCGGCTGGGTTTGTGGGGAACAAGGTCAGGCTGAGAGGGAGACTTCCTGGAGCTTCAATCTGTCCAGCTCCCTCTAGAGACCTTTGGACTGCAGCTGCTCCCTGAGGGTCGGGGATGTGCAGGGGGAATGGGTAGGAGGAGGGCTAGCCGTGTGCTATGTTCCTACAGGTGGGAGAGGAAGGAAGACCAGGAGCCAGAGAGTCAGGAGGTGGGTGCTTGGGCACAGGATAGGGTGGGTGGGGGCCACAGCCCCGAATTCCCCAGCCACAAAGCCCGTCTTGTTTCAGGGAAGTCGAAGCCCTGGAAAGACCCCTACTGAGGAGGAACAGGGACCACAGCGAAGTGGGATGGAGCCAGGAGAACCCAGCAGTGGCCCAGCCCCCAGCCCAGCCCTGGCAGGCCCAGAGGGGCCCAATAGGGAGCCAGGGCCTTCAGCAGCCAGCTCGGCCCCTGCCTCCCCACAGCACACTGACTTGGCTCCCCTTGACCTCTCTCTTGGAGGGGTCAGGAGCCCTGTGCCCAGGGAGAGCCTGGGTGTGCTGAGTCCGGGGCCTGGGGCCCAGGAAAGCCCCGGGGCCAGGCCGGATGGGTCAGAGCAGACTCTGGGATGGACTAACCATCAGGCGGACCTGGAAGTCCAGAGTAGCTCTGAGCCACACAGAGGGGCCGGGCGCCTCCAGCCCCGTGAAGACGGGTCTGGGAAGGAGGGGGACCAGCAGGGCCTGGCCCAGAGAAGCAGGCCCCTCAGAGGAACCAGTAAAAGGGGAAGAGGGACAGCAGGTGTGAGGCGCAGGACAGGGGGGCCAGGCCCTGCAGGAAGATGCTGAGCACAGCTCCTGAGAGCTAGAAGGGAGGTGGGGAGCGTTTTGTGTGATGAATGGCTGGTTGCCAGAGGCTTGTGCCAGGCTGGCTGAGCAGTTTGGCAAAGTCTCTGGCAAAGCACTGTAGTGAGGGCAGAGCTGTTGCCTTCCCCGCCGCTCACCTGCAGAGCCCTGTGCACCGGTGCGGGGCTCATGTGCAGGCACAGCCCTTGCTGGCCCTGGCCTGGCCTCTGCTTCCCAGGCCCCACTCCCTTCTCCAAGGTGAGACAGGGCTGGGAAGCACTTGGCTCTCTGCTCCCCTTACCCCAAGGGCCTGAGCTCCTGCCCCAGCTGATTCAGGCTCCTCAAGGGCCACTCTAGCTGAAGCAGGGGAACCAGGTTCCAGCAAGCACCTGGCCTGTGGCAGAGAGAGCCGGCCCATGGCATAAGGCACCCAGCGGGCAGGGCCTGGGCTCCCATCTCCTCTGGGAAGGCCTCCTCTCACCACAGGGCGGGAGGGGCTCACCACCAGGAAGCCCTGCGGGTCAGACATCAAGTACACCCTGGGTCACTTCCTGCCTACTCAACTTCCTCCCCGGCCCTCCCCCCATGGCCCTGCAAAGGCACAAAGACATGGACTCTGGTGGAGAAGGCCACTCACAAGGGATGCAGAGAGAGAGTGACTCCAGCCAAGGGCGACAACAGGACTGGTCTCTCCTCCTTAGCCACCATCCCTGCCCCCAGGGCCCGCATCTGGAGGATTCTCTAGACTCCGCACAAGCTGTGGCTTCCTCTCGATTCAACAAACATTTCCTGAGCACCCGCTACGATGCGCAGCCACTCCCCCCCTATCCCAGGGGCCAGCCGGTCAGACCTCCAGGGGCACAGCCCCACTTCTGCTCAGCTGGGGAGAGGGGGTGCTCTTTGCTCCCGGATGCCACCAGTGGTCCCCTCTGTACCCGTTTCTGTGCCAAGTCTGTTCTCTGCGGAGGGTCCCGGGCTTACTTCCCCTGAGGGATGCGGGAGGAGTGTGCCAGCTCCGCCCACAGGAGCGCCCCACTGCTCAGTGAGCCCGAGGTCCAGGGGTCCCCACCTCAAGGCCCCTCTCCCAGAGCTAGCTGGCTCCTGCACCCCTCCCCTACTCAGGAAGCTTGGGGATCTAGGAGCGCTTCAGGTCAGATGGTGGGTTGGGGGCATCTCATACTTGGACAAGGGGCGGGTTCATCCACATTCTGTTCCGGAGGTCTGCGGAAGTCGCCCTTCTAATAGGCTCCAGGGGACGTCTGTGCCGCCGGTGGCGGACTACCTTTTCAGAGGTCTCAGGAAGTTGGTGGCGAAATGGAATGGAAAAACAGTGGTTTCCCATGAACTTTTTGAAACCCCCTCATTTATGTGGATGTGGGGAACCAAGACCCACTGTAGGTATTAATGGCTGGAAGTGTAGGGGTTGTGGCAGGGAGCCAAGGCTCCCGGGCAGGGTCCCTGTGTGGGTGCTGCCAACGTCCTCAAGTGGGGGGTGAGAAAGCTGGCTGGGGATGAGACTGGGTAGAGGGCACTGTAAGTGATGGGGTGTGGAGTTGGCGGGGAATTGGGGGTGGTGTGTGCATGTTCCTATGCAGGGGTGGGGGGGCCTGCCCAGGCCAGGGTGAAAAGTTCCAGGTACAGTTGTCCTCTGGACTTGCAGTCACACGTATATGGCTTTGGAGGGGGCACGGTCCTGGGACCTGGGACTGCCCAAGGCTGGTGCTGAGGCAGAGCAGGCTCAGGCAGAGCAGGCTCGGGCAGGGCCCTTGAATTTGGATGTCTTCATGAGCTATTTTGATCAAGCATTTGAATTCTGAGCTTCACACACGGCTCCCAAACCCCCAGTGCTGCCAATTGTGTACAGCTGTGCCTTCCTTAAAGGGTAGCTGCATGTTAGATTCTGGGGTGGGGGATTTAAGAACCGGGAGCCTCTCTGCTTCAGCCCCAGGCCCCAGAGCAGGCAGGCACCCTGGGGAATGCTGGGAGAAAGGGAGTCGCTGCAAGGGGATGGAGGAAACGGATGGGCACAGAATTCCTTGTGGGAAGGTTGCAGGGCTCTGCTTTGGGGAAGGCGCCTTAACGGGCACAGAGCTGACGTCGCTCCGCTGCTAGCTGACCCGTCAGCAGCTCCATGGGAAAAAGATGTGGCAGTCTGCTTCCGCAAGGGTTACAACCTTGGGCACCTTGTGCCTGGGAAGCTCTACTAGTCCCATTGGGTCTCCGAGTTGGAGGCAATGGACCCGCTTTGGGGTGAAGAAACAACAGCTGTGGCACCCTCCCCTGCTGCTCGATGGCAGAGGGGACAGGAGTTAAGACAGCCAGGAACCTTGGGCGCAGGGATGGCTCTATCTTTCTGGTCCCTTTGTTGAATGACTTGGCCAAGAGTCTTCCTCTCCCACCAACAGACAATTCAAAGGGAAACTGGGCCCTAGAGAAGGCTATCAAAAACCCAGGCACAGGGCTGGAGGGGCGGAGCAGGGATGGACGAACACACACAGAAACGGCAGCTTCACCTAAGGCAGTGGTCCTCAACCTGTGGGTCATGACCCCTTTGCAAGACGAACAACCCTTTCTCAGGGGTCACCTGATTCCTAACAGTAGCAAAATGACAGTTACGAAGTAGCAACGAAAATCATTTTACGGTTGTGGGGCGGGTCACCACCACGAGGAACTGCATTGAAGGGTTGCAGCATGAGGAAGGCTGAGCACCACTGGCCGCAGGCGTCTCAGTGCGGAAGGCGGAGGGCGGAAGGGCAGTGCTGTTGCACAGGTCACCAGAGGGGAGGGGTGGGGACGAGCAGGCTGCTGGAAGAGATATGCACAAGTCTCAAAATCAGTCAGAGTCCGTGGCTGCAGGCTGGGTGCCCCTGGTCCGTCAGTCTCCCTATCTGCAAAATGGGGCTGGTAATACACGCTGTGCAGGGTGGGGAAAATTAGAGCTAAGAGTATGCACAACGTACCTGCACACCGTAGGCATTGTAATAAGACCCTGGCATCTGAAGGTTGCTCAGTAGACTTGTTGAATAAATGCAGTAACGATCTGGTGTGATCTCCGCCTGCTTTATCATTTCCATTACCGTCTCTGTCTCTTCTAGCTTCCCCCTTCACTGGGGGCTGTGAGGAGCTCCCAGGGAGAGCTCCCTGCGGGGGCCCACCCTTCAGGGCAGTCCCCCTCCAAAAAACCAAACCAACCGCAACCCACTGTCACCGAGTAGATACTGACTCTTAAAGATAAGGTAGAACTGCTCCTGAGAGTTTCTGAGAGAGTAATCTTTGATGGGAGTAGCAGGCCCAGTGTTTCTCTTGCGAAGCAGCTGGTGGTTTTGAACTGCTGACCTTGTGTTTAGCAGCCTCCCGGCTAACCAACACTGCCACCAGAGCAGTTTAGCATCTTCTAATTCCTCTGAGTAGTCAAGCCACCAGTTAAAACATCTCACTTTCATAAGGTGAGCTCGTTGGTCCCCACCAGCTTGAAGATAAGACGTCTTCAGTGTGTCCCCTGAAGTTCACAGACCGGCTCTTGATCGCCTTTCTATTTACAGAAGTAGTGACCTTACGAAATGACACCAGCTCTTGCTCCTTGAATGTTTCTCCCAGAAACAAGCTGCCTTGTGCCTCCCAGAGTTGAGTGTCGGGGACAGCTCGACTGTTTCCTGATGGTCATGGGAGTGTGTGTGCATGTGTGTGTGTGTGTGTGTGTGTGTGTCTGGGAGCAGGGGAGAGGCCCCAGCTCCTATCTAACCAGGCCACCCCAGCTCCAGTTCCGGCCTCAGAAAGGATGGTGCCAGTCTCCCAGAGAACACAGGAAATGGGGAGAATGAACTATTCTGTCACCTCTCTATTTTGGGGGCAAGAGAATACAAGAACCACTTCCCTCTTTCGGCCCTCTCAGGTCCTCTATCAATGCCCACAGATGCAGCCACAGCATTCGAGCCAGGGGACACGGGGTGACAACCCTAGCAGGGCAGAGCCCCAGACCGGGGCTGGGCCAGAGAGGAGTCGCAAGGATAGCACACTCCCAGGCTGCTTTCTCTCAACCAGTGCCGGCCTGACATCACAGCCCCTCATTAAGCACCCACTTGACGCCAGGGAAGTGAGACAGCGCAGACCTGGCACCAGAAAGAACAGCCGTGGCGCCCACTGCTCCTTTTAAGGCCTGACTGCAGGCTCCAGGGAAGGAGTTGAGGGAAACACAGCAGTACCTTTGGGGGGGTGGGGGGGTGGGGTTTCTTCCAGGCCTGCCTCTTTCTCAGCAAGCTCTCCAGCGACTCTCAGAGAAAACCACCAATGGAGGCTGTCCCCCTTTCTACCCAAAGTCTGGCACACAATGTCTCCTTTTTGCCACCAGGGCAGCTGGTTTCAGTGGAGCAAACAAGGGTCAAAAGCCACTCTGAGAACCATCTGTCAAAACAGAACCACCCGAACGCTTGGTTACACCATCGGAGAGAACGGCCAGCCATTGGCTCTCCAACTCAGGTGAGTCCGACTCTCTCCACCCCACTGCTCGGTCAGCAGGTCTGGGGTAGGGTCTCAAGATAGCACGTCTAAACAGGTAGTAGGTGAAGCAATCCTCCTGGCCTGAGCCCCCGGCCCTCTCCTCCCACTCTTCCCCATGCAGACATTACCTCCTGCGCACACACTGGTACATCTACCTGCTCCGTAATGCCCTTTGGTCGGGAGGAAACAGAGAGCTCCGGGGCTGTAACCAATTGCATTGAGTCCCTACCTTCTCTGCAGGGTTCTCGCCCCACTCACGTCCCCACATGCTGTGGGCTGCCCAGAGCTCCAACCAGCAGGGAACCGAGTGGGCCCAAGTGAGGGGCGACTTCAACAGGTGACTCTGAGCATTAACGCCACCAGATTGTGTGAAAAATGTTGAAATGACAAATGTTTCATTACATACCTATTCCCAATAAAAAGGGTTTGTGTGGGGCGGTGGGGTAGATCTGAAAGATCAACATAATTGCTCTCTTTGACAAGTTGTTTTGGGACTTTTGATACTCACCTAGCATGCAGGCACCAAATGTTTATGGCATTAGCCACCAGTAGTGGCTAATGGCATTATCCCTAAGGAAGGAGCTGGGTCATGCTGTTTAACCAATAAGCTAGCGTAAAGACAGGTGACCGAAGACAGGAAGACCCTTGCACCTCCGTCCGGTCTGAGGCAAAGGCGTGTTCTGATTTTCTGCTCAGTGTAGGAGTGGGGCAGCCGGAAGCTGGCTCGCCCCACGCTCCCTACGGAGAGTGCACACATACGGCCATATGGTCCCGTCGGGGAATGGAGAGCCTGGAAGAATCTGGGTGAGGGTTGAAAACTTGACTTTGTTTTGAAGTTAGCTACTGGAGGCCCCAAAAGCCTTAACACCAAAAACCAGCAGGTGAAACAGACGTGAGGGAGCCGGCATGTTTCTCCTTCAATGCTAAGGCGTAGGGCTGGGGCGGAGAAGACAATCGGTGGGTCAAGTGGCCTATGTGGTCTCCATTAAGCAGCACATGGAACGCAGCTGTGGGGTTCTGGCACTTGGAAAGAGCAGGGAGACCAAGCGCAAGTCCCTCCACTTGGAAAGAAAAGAGCTGAGACCAAGAAAGCCAAGTAGAGCTGTGATATGCAGGGGTTCTCTTCAGCGACTCACCCCGGATCCACTTACGGGCTGTAGGGACACAGATGGGTTATGGCTGTGATGCTATAGTCACAGTGGGGCGTTTTATCCACGACAACCAACCAACACTGAGCACCTACACCCCTATGTGCTTGGCACCGGGCTGACCACGGGGGCATATGAGACTCACAAAACCACAGTGGTCCCTACCTCCATCTGGAGAGAGACACAAGTACAGCTGGAGTCCTTTTAGGAGCTCTGATGGCTCTGATGGGGGAATCATTGGACTGCTTACTGCAAGGTTGGCAGTTCAGTGCCAACAACTGCTCCAGGGGAGAAAGATGAGGTTGCTTGTTCCTTTAAGGCTTTATAGCCTCACAAGCCCTATAAGGGTTACTATGCGATGGACTGACACAGTGGCTGCAGCAGTGGGTGCAAACATCAGACAACTATGAGGACTGGGCAGCGTTTCGTTCTATTGGACATGGGGTCCATATGTGTCGGAGCTGACTCGAGGGCACCTAGCAACAACACACGTCAGAATCGAGTCGAAGGCCGTGAGTGGACAGGCCTTTTGGTGCTGAACTGCGGTTCCACGAAGACGTCTGCAGTCTGCAGAGAAGGGGAACACCTACTACTCCCTTTATACGACCGTGGTTGTCTTCAGCTCAGGACCCACCTTTCCCTTCGCCCTGAAGACAAGCACAGAAACCAGTAGAAAGCTTCCCACACAACACTTCAGAACTGATACAACACTCAACTAGAGGACACTCTCTCGGAGCATTCCCTTTAGAACCGAGAAACACGGTGGACGGAGAAGCTGTCCCGCAAAGATCGTCTTTTACTGCCAGGCTGGCTAGACCAGTTCTCCCTGCGAGCGCTTCCGAGCACTGCCACTTTCCAAGTCTGCCTCAATGAGGAACGGAAGTCGTCTCTCTCTCT